AAAAAAAAAAAAAAAAAATTGGGCTGGGTGCGGTGGCTCACGTCTGTAATCCTGCATGTTAGGAGGCCAAGGTGGGCAGATCACAAGGTGAGGAGATCAAGACCATCCTCGCTAACACAGTGAAATCCCGTCTCTGCTAAAAATACAAAAAATTAGCTGGGTGCGGTGGCAGGCATCTGTAGTCCCAGCTACTCACTCGGGGGGCTGAGGCAGGAGAATCGCTTGAACCCAGGAGGCGAAGCTTGCGGTGAGCCGAGATCACACCACTGCACTCCAGCCTGGGTGACAGAATGAGACTCCACTTCAAAAAAAAAAAAAATTAGCTGGATGTGGTGGTGTGCACCTGTAGTTCCAGCTACTTGGGAGGCTGAGGTGGGGGGACTACTTAAACCCAGGAGGTCGAGGCTACAGCGAGTCATGATCATACCACTGCACTCCAGCCTGGGCAACAGAGCGAGACCCTGTCTCCAAAAGCAAAAATCCTATCCATAAATCCAGGCAGTCCTTCTGTCAGCCAATCAACTGCATTGATCAGTAGCCGCCTTTCAGTTGGACAAGTACACAGATTAGGGAGACGTGAGGAAGTCGGTGCTGGGGGCACATAACTTCGTCTGGGGAGTTGGAGAGGCCTAAAAGTCACGAGGAGGTGACTGATGTTGGAGTCAAGACTGGAAAAGTGGGCTGGGCGCGGTGGCTCACGCCTGTAATCCCGGCACTTTGGGAGGCCGAGGCAGCTGGATCACTTGAGGTCGGGAGTTCAAGACCAGCCCATCTCTATTAAAAACACAAGAATTAGCCGGGCATGGTGGTGCACACCTGTAATCCCAGCTACTTGTGAGACTGAGGCAGGAGAATCCCTTGAACGTGGAGGCAAAGGTTTCAGTGAGCCAAGATCGGGCCGCTGCACTCCAGCCTGGGTGACAGAGAAGAAAAAAAGCCTGGAAAGAGGAGTTCTCAGAGGAAGGCATTTTGGGCAGAGGCCATAGGGCATGCAAAGGCCCTGAGCTCAGTGGTTTGAGGGGCAGCAGGAGGCTGGTTTGTGTGTCTGGATTGCAATGGACGCAGAGTGAGTAGAGGCAGAGCCGGGCGGAGAGGAAGGCCAAAGGCCAGGCCAGGGTTGGGATCTTACTCCACTTGCAGTGGGAGCCACAGCAAAGGTCTAAGAAAGGGACACGTGCATTTATTTATTTAAAGTCAACAGGGTCTCACTCTGTCGCCCAGGCTGGAGTGCGGTGTCGCCATCACAGCTCACTGCAGCCTCAAACGCCCAGCTCCAGCAATCCTCCCGCCCCAGCCTGCCATTTTTTAATTTGTTGTTGAGATGGGGGCTCGTTATGTTGCCCAGGCTGGTCTCGAACTCCTGGGTTCAAGTAATCCACCTGCCTTGGCCTCCCAAAATGCTGGGATTATAGGCATGAGCCACTGCGCCTGACCCTGATTTAAATTTACAGAAGACCTTTTGTAGTAGGTTGAATTATCTGCCCTCAAAATTCATGTTCACCTGAGACCTCAGAATGTGACCTTATTTGGGCAAGGTGTGGTGGCTCAGGCCTGCAATCCCAGCAGTCTGGGAGGCTGAGGTGGGTGGATCACCTGAGGTCAGGAGTTTGAGACCAGTCTGGCCAACATGGAGAAACCCCATCTCTACTAAAAATACAAAATTAGCTGGGCGTGGTGGTGCATGCCTATAATCCCAGATACTTGGGAGGCTGAGGCAGGAGAATTGCTTGAACCCAGGAGGTGGAGGTTGCAGTGAGCCGAGATCGTGCCATTGCACTCCAGCCCGGGTAACAAGAGCGAAACTCCATCT